TTTGTACACGTACATAATAGGACCCAAAGAAACTCTATGAAATCTATTTCTAGACTTTCTCAGAGAATAAGCTAATCTTAAAGGCCCTGAATTTTCACCAGAAAGGAGAATAGACCCATGAATACGGCATTTTCACTAGTTCAAAAAACTAAAATTAGACAACCTGAAACAAAACACCTGTTCCTTTATTAAAATCTCCAACCTCTTGCTAAAATGGCAGTTAGGTATCCCTGCTAATTTGCTGACAATGTGGTCTGTGTAACCTAACCTGAAGGTACAACTCTTGTATGGGCCAATCCAAGACACATCCCCTTCAGAATAAAAAAAATTTCCCAACCAAAAATAGGACATCCCAAGATTCCATATAGAAACAAATCATACTTTATTCCATCACAAAAGAAGTAAAAGATCATTTGCCTTTTCACAGCACTGTAAAAAATACTTGTTTCCTAAGGTCCTCCACCATCTCTGGAACTTGTACTAAAACCCCACTTGACTAGATTCTTTTCTATTCCTATACAAACACTATTGCCTTTTACCCTCTGATCTTATGGCAGGGTGGTTTTTGTTGCAGGTGCAGAAAACACCTTTTTAAGTTAACACCCACTCTTGACCTGCTTGCAACAGATTAAAAAAAGGTAGTGGTTATTGCAAGGATAATTAAGTCAATAAAAGTTCTTCTCCAGCTACAGATGTAATCTTCAAATCATTTTTTCCTCAGAAATCTGCAGTCTTTAGAGTTTATTAACGCTAAGTAGCAAGAGATAGATGATCATGGAAAAGAGAACATCCATGCTCTCCTGTAACTGAGGTGCTGGTTTATTTAAGTTCTTCAAGCAAGTTTATTGGCAATTTTCTCTATTCTTTGCTCATTTTCCCTTGAAGAGAACTTCTTTCTTAGATGACTTGTTAAGTATTTTCACTTTGCATTACACAGCATCCAAAGCACTTCTCTACTACTTCAAAACGACTTCCAGCTTTAGCACTTGGCTCAAGATGTAGCAGGTTATCCAACTGTTAATAAAAACACTTAAATCTACCGGATACTGTTACAGAATGAGTAAGCACCACTCAATCTTCAGGACATATTGTCATCATAAACAAAATACAGTGGTCAGAGGCACACATATATACCTGCTAATCCCCCCAACATAATCTCTACCTTCAAAATCATTTTATTCAATCCAGTCTCCCCATGCATTCTTCAAAAGCTTCTAATTTAGACTTTAGCACTTAAATGAACCCTTGGTGAATATACAAAGAGTGTATTACAAAACTTGGAACATGAATCAAGTTGAATCCAAACTACCTGTAGTTTTTAAGGAAAAGCTCTTTCTTCATCTTAAAGTTACCAGAAAATTACAATTTTCAGGGAAAATGGACAAATAAACCAATCCCATATCACTAAACAGAAAGGTATCTCATTGTTTAGTTCAATTCACCAATCATGTCGGCCTGAAGCTACTCAGCCAAGAAATGGGGAAGGAGACAAAAAAAACCACCCATCTTTGATGTGTTTAGTCATCAATTTCTTGCAGTCTGAGCACTGTGGTAAAATATCTAAACATAAGCTTATTTAAGCACCATCAAAGTGGTTGCCAGGAATTTAATATGCAAAGCTCTCAAAATTTGATTCAAGTCAAAAACTAACAAAATTTTAGTTACATTTTACATGACAAAATTCTGGGCAAACGTTAAGAACCAAATTAAACTGGATCATTTTATAGAATCATTCCAGGAACATGAAAACAAACGCCAGTTCCTCCTATCAGAGATTTTAAATCCTGTTGTGTGGAGCGGATTCCAACTATCACATCAACTGAGATATAACGAATAGTTGGGGGATGAGCAATTTCCCATTTTCCCTACTTGACTTACCAACTATCAAAACTTTGATTAGCCTGTAGCATTTCAATTGGTGTAGTGCCTAAGGCATATGATTGCTAACCAGAAGGCTGGCTGTTCAAACCCACTAGCCACTCCTCGAAAGGAAGGTTGGGCAATCTACTTCCGTAGTGATACCACCTCGGAAACCCAAGAGGGGCTGCTATGAATCAGATATGACTCGACGGCAGTGAGCTTGGTTTTTACCTTAATGAAGCTATTTTAGGAAGAAAACCACAAGATCATTTCATACCAATTGACTCAAAAAACCTGTAATCAATTAGTTGCAAGATAAAAATTTACCAACAGGTACCTGTCTTCTTCCATGCACAAGGATTACAAGTGTAAATGCACTGACTAGGATTGCCACAACCTTCTAAATGGGCAGCAACAGGGACACCCAAACCCCATGGCATCATTCTCAACTCACAGTGACCCTATAGGGCAGAGAACTGACCCATAATCTTTTCAAGGCTGTAAATCTTCACGGAATCAGACTACTCAATCTGTCTCCCAATAAGTAGCTGAAAGGTTTGAACTACCAAACTTCTGGTTAGCAGCTGAAGGCTTTTAACCACTGTGCCACTAGAACTGCCAAGAAAAACATCACTTAAAACACTATGTTGCAAACCATAATGTTGCAAGCAAAAACTTAATTTGATAAATGATTTTCTAGTAAGCCATTTCTCATCTTTACTTCCCTATTTAGTGGTTAAAAACTGCCTCCCAGCTATTTTATAGAAGTAATCTATAATCTACATCAAGGAGCTCTGGTGGCGTAGTGCCTAAGGCACTAGACTGCTAACCAGAAGGCTGGCGGTTCACACCCACCTCGAAAGGAAGGTTGGGCAATCTACTTCTGTAGTGATACTCCCTCAGAAACCCGAGGGGTCACTATGAGTCGGTCCAACTCGACGGCACTTAACACAAAGCTAAATTCAGCCCAAATGGGCACTTTCCTGACAAATCTAAGTACACCCTCAAGAAGCCATTAAGCTCTGTAGCAGCTCAACTTACTGTTGCCTGCCAAATCAGGGCAACCCAATGTGTTGTAAGGAACTGTCCCATAGGGTTTCCTTGGCTGAAATCTTTACTATAGTTTAAAACGTTTTCTTACTTGTAACAAAATGTTCAGAAATGGGGGAGGGGGTCAGGGATTAGCATAACAGGTAAAAGTTAGTACCAAGTGCTTTGAAAAGTGCCAATGTATGTGTAATATTAAAATGTCATCATGCTTAACTTTTATAATTTCCTTAATAGCTTTCAGAAGAATGTACTTAAGCCACCAGCTAGTTTTGAAACTAACAAGATCATCTTAACTAAGAAGCTCCTAGATTACCTTACCCTTATTCCAATTAAAATTACTTCACATTTCACAATTTTCCATAGTACAGGAATTAGTTTGTACCTAAAACTCAACTTTTATTTTAAAAGAACCCTTGCATACCAAGTGAAAGCTTAGTTCAGGGTCAGCAAACTTTCTCTGTAAAGTTCAGAACAATCTCTGCAGCATATTAATTTTTGCTTTCAACCATTTCAAAATACAAAAACTATTATTCCCTCAGGGCACAGGCTGTAGTGCATAGACTTAGGCATAGCACTTTATTGAAATGACACTCATTTCCAATGTTAACACTTTCACATGTGGGCAAAATCTACGGCTTTAACAAATTCACTTTATAATCTAATCTGACACTATAGAGTTTCTCACCCTCTGGGTTGCAATCTTGTTTTCCCTATAATCTTTGCTCTATTGAATTCCTTAGCTTGAAACCAATTTATTCCATTGACTTCTCAAATAATCACTTCATCCAACTAAAAAATAAGATTCTTAAATTCAGAACAAGGCAACCAAGGCTAAGCAAAAAGTAACTGATTTCTGAGAAGTGCCACTTATTCATCCCAATGATGAAATCAAATTTATTTTACAATATTGATAAATTATTTTAATTACTAGGGTCCAGAAGCACTGATTAGATTTAACTGTACTAGATAAACCCCACAGAGCATACTAATAATCAAATTTTCTGCTGTTAACTTGGCAGAGCAGGTTTCTGGTTTCTTAAGTGTTCAGATTCATTATTTACATGTTAGTTTCAAAATTATAAACATATGGGTTGCAAACTGGTTTCTAAGCTTAAGGAAAGTGCTGCATGCACCTGAAAGTGCTAGAATTACTTTATCAGTTACCTCATCAATAACCTGGCACATTCTTACCTTTAATTAAACTAACACCAGCTGAGTCATTGAAGTTTCCTAATTCTCTTTACATTGGTTTTTTTTCACTTTTTAACACCTGTTGCTTCCTCTCACATATAGCTAGTGCTCTTTTAAAAGATGTATTTTATAAATCCAATCTACTTTGCATACAACTCCCTAAAAGCACTGACAGACATTTTTCTTTTGGTGCAACCACTTCTAGCAATTAGAAAAATAAAGCCATCAAAATGGAATATTAATATCCTCCTTCCAAACCCCTAAGAAAAGTTAAGCCCCAAGGATATTTACAATCCTGGAGATCATGTGTCTTATTCCCATTTTCAAAATAAAACTGAAAAAACAGCTACATGTTTAGTACCTGATGATACATTTTAAAATCACTAAGTCTAAAAATAGTATATACCTAATAAAGGAAACATACTCAAATTATTTCAAGGCAAGCTGAAAAATTTCAGCTCTGGTATTAGTTCTACTTAAGTGTCGAGAAGTTAGTTCACTAAAACATTCCACCAGAGCCACCATTTATATTTTAAGATTTTGTCCATTAAGGGATTTTCTCATTAATACATACAGTTTGTCAATTAAAAGTGACATTCTGTATAAACTTTCATGCTCAAAACGTGGCTTCCTAAGACACATATTATCATGTGTCAGTCCTTGAATTCATTTGATGGTAGAATTTAACATTTCTAATTATAACATTCATTAAGATAGCTATCCTTCCCAAATGTGATCCAACAGCCTGGTTTAACCAATAAAAACCCCACTTAAACAAAATCTCATTGTACCATGAAGGGGATGGAATTAAAGATGAGTATCATCTTCAGGGTGCACACACAGATCAGAAACCAGGAAACACATGACAATAAATGGGCTCCTATTTCATTGTTTTTATAACTTTTAGAAAGTGAGCATGAAAATAAATCTTTATTTTATTAACCCACCAATACGAGAAAGTTAGGTTCACAGTTTTAGCTCTTGACAAAGTGAACTAGGAGGCAAATTTACATCCATCAGATACAACTAATGGACCAACTTTTTAAAATCTGGCTATCTTGAAAGCTTGCAACATACCAGATATTGCTGTGTCCTCTCATGACTGCCAAATGGCTGACAGTGAGCAAGATTTGCAGTGTTTTCACTTAATACCAGGTGTTTTAACATTTCTAAAAATCAAGAGATTTACAAGCTAATGTCACACGTTCAGAAATGAGCTAGATACTCAAATCTAAACACTGATTCAGGAGTGCATATGTTGCCTTCTCAAGAGGGGTCAACAGTCCATACGGACTAAATAATACTTGCCTCTGGGTAGCAGGTTTGTTTGTAAATATAAAATTATATCAGACATTAGCACCAGTGCAGAACATGCTCAGCATCATAAGATCCAAAACACCAGCACAACTTTTATCCACCATTAAAGAATAATTATCTCTTCCCTAGTTCTTAGACAGTAAGTGATGAGGTAAATAAATCTAATCCAAATAAATAATTCTTATTCTGTACAATTTGTTAGAGGCATATGGGAGAACCAATCAGTTAAATAGACATTTTAAGACTGAAGATCTTCCCTATTTTTAAAACCAGGCATTAGACACATAGGTACAAAACTATTACAACTTACTGAGTGACTAAAGCCCTTTGCAACAAAATAAAATTCCTTCCATGCTCATCAATAAATGTGGCAAAATAATAATAAAAATCCTAGAAAATCTGTTTATTGATCAGTCTCTCCAAGTATGTTTTAGTAAGTGGTGATGCTCCCAAACAATGGATTATTAACCTAATTTTCTAATGGTGGAAGAGGAAAGATAACTGTCTTTTGTGAAACAAACATTCACTTATCAACTGAAGACCAAAATTAATAGCAATATAGAAAATTCAGAAACAGTTAAGATTTTTTGGTTTATATTTCATGGATAGTGCTGCTGTTCCAACCTTATAAAATAAAGCTGTCTGCTTTCCCAATTCCAAAAATTAAAATATACCCCCTCTCACCATACTAACCAGTGTCCTTTGGTTTCTTTAGAACAAGGAAGGGCTAAAGGATTGTTTATAGGAGTACAATTTTGATTTTGGGACCTTTCTAATATACAAATCATACTGAAGGGCCAGACACTTACTTTACAGGAATAGTTTAAATATTATGTATTAGCCAAATCAACCTATTCCACCCACAGTAATGGAAGGGGAAAAAATCCATGTAACTACTTTACTCAACAGGATGTGTCTATCAACAATAAGCTTAAACAACTTTCACCAATAAATGTATCTAATTTGTTTTTTAAAATGGATAAACCATACAGTTGAAATTGTGAATCAAATATTATCTGAACCTAATGAACCATGCATCACTGCAGGAGCAAGGGTTAATAAACCAATGTGCTTTGAATTTTGTTCAAGTACTGATATTTTTGTATATAAAGATTTAGCATATATAACAGCTATCATGAGAATTGAAAAAAGATTTTTCCCAAAAATGAAAATATTAAAACTAAGTTAAAATACATAAAGTAGTTAGTATTCCACACAGCATAAAATTTGACAAATCAAGTTTACATGTCCCAGCTGACCATGTGTGAAAATGCAAAGCAGGTATTAAAACTGATATTATGTCCAATATTTAAAACCACTTTGAAATCGGGGAACATCTAAATCCTTAATTAAAAAACACAAATGAAGTGAAAGCTTTAAACTGGTACACACTGTTCACACCTATATTTCAAGTTTGGAAATGCATATTTGCAAGCAGCAATACAAAAGTATTCATGAAGAATGCATAATCTCTGAAAATTATGAAAACATCCCTGCTACCAATACATTTCTAAATACAAAACTGACTACCATATTTGTTACTTCTGTGTAGCGAGAGAAGTTCATTTCAAAACAGATAAAATTCAGTCTTTAGGTGTGAATGGTATGAATGACAGTCTTTTTTTTTTTTTTTTTTAATTTCTTAAGTCGTTTGGGATCCTTAAGCATGCAAAGCCTCAGAGAGGAGGGTCCACAAAGGAACCAGGGTTGTCTTATGGCATATCCAGTTAAGCCAGAGCTGGGAATGCCTCTGGGTCATCTACATCAGGAGCAGAAGCACTTGACTGAAAAAGAAACAAATCAAAATTAACTACAATTCTCAAATCTTAAAAACGATTACCAGTGTCTATAATCAGACACAGAACTCTAAAAACTCTTCATGTTAAAGCACTGACTAAAATGTATTAAAGCTTTTACTTAAAAGGCAAAATTATGGATCAGCATAGGACTATAAACATGTGCAAATACTCTGTCCTTAATTTGCAAACCTATGAAAATTCCCCTAGCGATCACCATGATGTTTGTTTTGTTTTTTTTTTAATAAAACACGATACCCTCACATGGAGCATAAATGTGAATTCTTATTTTTTGCTCAGGATTATTACACTTTTCCAACTTCCTAAAGAAGAGTATTGATTTGAAAGCACGCTAAGAAATCAGCGATTATTTATGTAGCAATATTATTCATCATAGCAAGAGGGCCAACTGCTAAATACAGCCCAAAACACAAATAACAAAACTTCACTGGCCTTTAAACTGTCAGAGGAAGAAACAGAAACAAAGCATCAACCACACATTGCCACTGATAACCATAAAATCAGTTAATACTAAATTACCATTCTAAAATGAAACAATGACATTCAATTACATGGTTATATCCTGGAATTTTTATATCAGAGATTGAGAATTCAGGAGGTTATTACGGTTGCTTCCCAGCAGACCATAAGACACAGTGAAATAACACAAAGGTTACCTTTAATACTTTAGTTTAATAGTTTATAATTATTAAAAATACGGACAGATCTGAGTTCAAATCTAATAACAAGGGCATCTATAAAAGTATTTTAATTAAGCACTTGTTTTGTGCCACACTACGCATGGGATTGAAGACTCTGAAGAAAGCAGAAGAGTAATGAACACCAGTCCTCACAGGGCAGTCTAGTAAGAAACATTAACAAAAAAGTGACAGCCATCTAGTGAGCGTCACAAGAGTAAAATGGACACAAAAATATTAAACTGAGACATAAAAAGTAGTGAGGAACTGTCAAAATTATCAAAAAGGAGCAGGTTTTATTTCAGGTAAACTTCTTACAATGATAAAGGGTTCCCTATACCTGAGCCTCCTCATCTATAATATGGGGATGTCATCATATATATGTAATTTAATGGCTTAATTACATAAAACACCTAGCACAGTATCTAGTAAGCACCCAACAAAAGGTAAAAATTTAATTCCTTTGAAAACAAGCTCTAAGCAAAACAAGTTCAAAACAACAGCTCTCAACTATTCAAAAACAAATTGTATTTAAGTACTTTAAATAAAAATGACCTAAAACTTATCTTATCATGGTTATTATTTTCTTATTCTAGTTCTTTTTCTATCCCTCAAACGCACCCACAGTCAGTGCTTTACCAAAAGAGGTTCCTGAATTACTGAAAAAGGGGGAAAAGAAGCCTTAAAATTACCTTGTCAGTTCTGCTGCCACGATTGGGACGTCCACCACGCCCACGTCCACCTCTTCCTCCCCTGCCACCACGTCCTGGGCGGCCAAGGTCTCCAAAATTAATCTCCAGCTGAGACGTTATATCATTTGCCGGCTTCCGGAAATGATGGTCCATAACCGAATCTTCAGCATGAGCCTAAAAATGCAAGTGAAGACCACTGGATAATGAATACCAATCCAATCTATACTTTATGAGAATACATCAACAGCTGAAAGGGTAGTAACAGGAGTCCCTAAGTGGTGCAAATGCATAAGTGCTTCTGCTACTACTAGTTTAAAGGTTGGCAATGCAAATCCACTAGAGGCACTGTGGAAAACAGGCCTGCTAATCTGCTTACAAAAAAGGTCACAGCCTTAAAAACCCTAAGAAACAGTTCTTCTCTACACATGGCTCTCCATGAGTCAGAACTGACTCAATACCAACTAGTAACAATTCCATTATAGCCAATTAATACCATTCCTTCATGCCATGCCAAACCAATGTAAGAATTAAGGTTCTTTTCAAAATATTAGTATCGCCCAATTTTAGAATGTTTGCCATTTCAAATCAATGATAGCAATTCACCAACTACATTTTTATAACTTTCTAGAGCACAGAAGCAAAAACGCATAAATTGGCATGTTACTGAAATAGCTGGACAGTTTTTATTACCAAAATTAAGAAATTTGGGTGTTTAGAGGAGTCCCTAGGTGGCACAATTAGTGTTTGACTACTAACCTAAAGGTCGGCAGTCAGAATCCACCCAGTGGTGCATGTAATCAACCTAGTGATCTGCTTCTGTCAAGATTATAGCCAAGAAAATCCTGTGGAGCAATTCTACTCTGTAAAACATGGGGTCACCGTAAGCCAGAATCAACATGACAGCAACAAGTTTTGGGATTTTTTTGGGGGGTGTTCAGAACACATTTCTAACCATTCAGGCAACTACAAGGATAAACAACACCAGCACTGCACCTCCCTAAAATAGTTTTTATTTTCCCTTACTGCAGTGAATGATAATCAGAAGACAAAGCTCTGCTCTCTACTGTTGGTAACTTGGTAACTCAGTTCTCCATCTCTGAAGTTACTTCTTTCCCTCACCAAACCAACCAAACTCACGGCCATCAAGATGATTCCATCTCACAGCAACCCCCTTTGGGTTTCTGATGCAGTATCACTACAGAAATAGATTGCCCAACCTTCATTCCGCAGAGTGGCTGGTAGATTTGAATCGCCAACCTTCTGGTTAGCACTCAAATGCCTTAGGCACTCCGCCACCAGAGCTCCTTTTCCCTAACTAACCTATATTCATTATGAGAATGAAGATATATAAAGAGTGCTTCAACTATAAATAACAAAATTATAAAAAATAGTCAAGTGACAAGGCAAAACGCCAGCAGGGCTAAATTCAAACAAGTATCCACATCACAAAGCCCGCCCCCCAAAAAAAAACCCCTGTAAGGGTTCAAATTTACAAGTGGCTTGATAATGCAAATGTCCTTTATTCAACATTATTCATAACCATTTTCACATTTTTTAATGTTCCAAAATTTCTACTTATAAACATTGTTTTGTATAACAGGTATTTCTGAAAAGCTAGGTATTAAAATTTAAAACTGGAATACCTAACCTGATGTGAGGTTTCAGGACATTATTAACAAATCACCTAAAATTACAACCCAGAATTTTTATGTGTGTATGTAGTTTAAGGAGCTCTGGTGGCTCTTTGTGCTGTTAACCAAGATTGGTGGTTCAAAACCAGCAACTCCGTGGGAAAAAGATGAGGCAGTCTACTTCCATAAAGATTTACAGCCTTGGAAACCCTACAGAGGGCATTCTACTCTGTCCTATAGGGTCACTGAGTCAGACTCAACTCGATGGCAGTGGGTTCAGCATGCAATTTGTTCTGGGAAGAAGAGTCCACACTCAAGACCCAAAAAGTTAATTGTCTTAAATGAGCTGTAGAGGAAACTTTTTTATTATTATTAACCCAAGCAATTTAATCACGATTTCAACTGATCAATCACCCCAAAAATGAACTTTCATGGTTCTAGAATGAGGAATTTATCTTACCCTGATATGTTACAAACTTATCAGCAAGAATGACAAAGAAAATTAAAAAATGAAATCTTCTAATAAAGCAAAATGTCCCTGACTCTTAAGATGTTGACCTCATTTATTTCCCCCACTAAAATCTATTTTGTTGTTGAAAATACACAACAAAACATACACCAATCGAACGGTTTCTGCATGTACAATTCAGTGACACTGAATACATCCCCAGAGTTGTATAACCATTCTTTTTTGAGTTCCTCCCACATTAACTCACTCCTCAAGGTTCCAACCCAATCTAGTTGCTATCGTTTTGATCCCAAATACAGTTTTTATAAGAGCATAATGCTCAAGACAGATTTCTTTTTTAACGAGTTAGGCTAAACTATCATTCTATTTCCAGATGATTTTGGGGGATAATTTTTGCTTAAGGTTTGAAGATTATCTCAGGGCAAGAGTTTCAGGGGTTCATCCAGCCCCTAAGGCTCCAGAAAGTCTAGAGTCTGTGAGAATTTAGAATTCTGTTCAGCATTTCCATCCTTTTGATCAGGATTCTTCCATGGAATCTTTGATCAAAATGTTCAGAAATGGTAGCCAGGCATATCTAATTCTTCTGGTCCGACAGCAAAGGAGGCAGTTATTCATGAAGAAAATTAGCACATTCCTTATCTTCCTCCCTCCTATTCCTGACTCTCCTTCCTCTGTTGCTCCAGATGAAGAGATCAATTGTACCTTGGACAGCACCTTGCAAGCTTTAAGACCCCAGGAACTAAGCAACGAACTAGGAGGCAGAACAGAAGGACTAAGCACATTAAGGCCAGTTAACTGGGATGCCCCATGAAACATCACCCTAAACGTCCAAACCAAGGAACCAAATCCGAGGTGTTTGGCTCATTTATTTTTTGTGCTTTTAGATAAAAATTTGTATTTGAAACTAAACTAGTTTATGTCAAAGGAGTAGGAAAATGACATGGAGATTTTTCAACCAGGAAGTAAACTTGTAATTATGATTTACTACACTAGAACAAGTAATTTGAGTAATTTAAAAATACTTAAAGTTGCTTAACAGTAGAGGGACTCCTAGAGATTATGTAGATGATGACAGTATTATTTCCAAATAGAATTTGAACTCTAGATTTCTGGCACAGCCCGATTCAGGAGACGAATAAATCACCAATGTCAGAAATTTAAAGAAAACAGAATTTAGTAGAAGAAATAAATTAGGTTTGGCGAAGAGTTTTACTAAAAATTTATTCTGACATAGGATGCAGCACTAAGACATTCCTCTAAAATTATTCTCCAAGGCTTAAGGAGGAACTACCAATCAAATGCCAACAACATGACTTTTTCAAGTATTTTCATTAATTTCCATGCTTCCTAAGTAAAGGAAACCCATAAATTCATTCTCTGGTCTTTAAAAGGCCTCATTCCTCAGTTAAGAAGTCTCCTTTACTGAGGAATGAGGCCTTATAAAGGCCAGGCTTAATTTATGGATTCTTACCATTATATATGGAACAAACCAACAGTTTCAAAAGCTAATACTCAATGAAGTCACTTATGCATTTGGTTAAACCTTATGAAAATGTCAAGATAACACAGTGAAACCTGTGAGAACTGGAACCTGATGGGACAGTCTTGTTTTTCCAGATCTCAGGGGTTTTTTTTTTTTGCCTCTGACAGGGTACAGTCTTACCACTTTTCTATGGCTTGTTTTAGCAGAAAACATTTTGAGTTTTCCTTCTGACAGGTTTTACTACACTCACCTAACTCCTAGTGATGAAATATATATATATATATTTTAAATATAACCACATTTATTATATTTCAAAAGCACTAGTAAACTGTATGACATACCACTGACTAACAGCTTTTTGGGAAAAAGAGACATTACCACATTAAATATACATAAAGACTGAAGGACTAGAATAACAGTTATGCAATTTATCTTCCTTTTCAATCAAGTGATCGGCTCCAGATGATCCTATGATCTTTTTCTTTTACAACAGAATACAACCATCTGAAATTCTGAAATAAAAAATTCAAGTATTATCTAAGTCATATCTGAATATTTTCAATCACCAAAAACTTAATCTTACCTCTTCACTCTTTGACTTATGAAGAACAAATCCCTTCTTCCATTGCCCATCAGCACCTTCATTTGGTTTTCGGATATTAAACTCTACTTTTGCCCGGTCCTTATTTTGAATAGCCTTCCACTCATCCAATGTCATCTCTTTTGGACCCTCTTCCTTTACCTCTTCGACTTCATTCTCCCTGTGAAAACATTTTTAATGTTACACCTGACAGAGGGCTGATATAATTTACATAAAAAAAAATATTTCAAACTTATGATTGTAAATCTTGAGTGGCCAACAGACTCTCAGACAAAATGCACACACAGATAGGAGGGATCAGTTTTCTTCATAACCCAACTGCTGACATGCAGCTTGCCAAAGACCAATAATTCACTGATTAATGAATTAAAGTACGGATAACAAAGGAATATACAATTTTATATTTATAAATCCTTAATGATCATCAAGTAGTAATATAGTCTCAAATTGGTCTTACCACCTAAGTATATTTCTTAAAACTACCCACCATACACTGCTGGTGGGACTGTAAAATGGTACAACCATTGTGGAAAGCAGTATGGCGATGCCTTCAAAAGTTAGAAATACAAATACCATTTGACCCAGCCATCCCATTACTAGGTATATACCCTAAAGAAGTGAGAGCCATAACAAGAACAGATATATGCA